TTTTTTTTTTTCTCTCCCCCCCCCCCCCCCCCCCATAAGATATCATCTGGCAATCCTGCAGGGTTGACAGCATTCCTGGAGAAGGAGAATTTGAAAACTGTGAAACAAGACTCCACATTTTGTTTCACTTTGCAGGAGTCATTGTAAGATGAAACAATCACTGGGCCAGTGACAAGCCAAGTTTTCCAATCCCATATACGGGTAATAATAATAATTAATATTTTGTCTCATTTATTATGCTTTGAAATTGTCTGGCTTAATTAAAAGTTACTGTTGTTTCAAGTTATTGTTAATCATTTTAAATTGGTGTGCCTCCAACCACCTTCTCCCCTTTTCTTTTTCAAGCAAAAGCGGTAAAAGCATAACTGCATGATAGAGATTTTTTGCTCAAGCGCCAAGAGGAAACATTTACTAGTTTGAGTTTGTCCCCCTTTTTCAATTGTGATAGTGATACTGGTAGTTAATTATAATTTGGGACTAAACTTGTATGACAATTTTATCTATATTATAATAAATTAATAAAGGATTTCCCTCAAACTTAATTTCCCTCATTGAGACATTCAGGATATTTTAAAATGTTAGTGCAATCCATCTATAAAAATAACTAAAGAAGATTCAACTCAATTATCAGAAAAAAAGAAGATTCAACTCAATTATCAAAGTCATTTATTAACAATTCAGAACCTAAATTTAGAAAATCGACATATATGATTTACATTACTGGTAGTTTGTTATTTTTTAAAGAAAAAACAAAAGGGGTTTTGGGCGTTTTCCAAGTTCATGAATGTTTAAATTAAAAGGTTATTTGACATAATACAAATGTAATACAATGAGTATGAGTATTTAATATTTAAAATTTTAACAATGTCAATACCGGTAACTCAGATATTTCCCTGAAATGCTATAGGGCCTACAATATAGGCATTTTAATAAAAATTAAATCTCGTATGTTATATAGAACAAAAATGTTTATGAAATTATTTTATTTTTCTTTAAATGAAAAGATAATTTCTACATACAATTGCTTCTCTTAAAATTTTAACATGAAAACAAATTATATGCTTATTTAAAATGGAAAACTAGGATTAATTTTGAAATCTACTTTGTAAACTTCTCGCTTACAGAATAAAGGATTTCTATTTTTACTTCATATGTGATTACAATGATTAAAATGATAACAGAATAAAAGGTAGTACCATTTTAAAAATGTGAAAAGTTAGTTTAGGCTTAGGATAAAAATATAACAAATATTAAAAATTCTTAAGTCTTTAGATGAACACTAATGGTGTACTAATTTAATACAGTGAAAGATTCCTACAACTCCTACGACGCAACTGGTGCCAAGCTGTATCATCCATAAATGAATATGTTGTTCACTTGGGTTATCCAGGTGCATGGAGAGAGGCGATTTGCGGTCTAGGGAACAGCTTACACTTATAGTCCTATAGATAAAATCCCAGGCCTTGTGATTTCATCCTGCGAAGTCTACACCATCATCACACTGTGACGGATGGATGCCTTAAGAATGGTGTACTGTGGCAGGTTAGATATTTAAAAGAAAAAAATATTTCTGTAAAGATTTGACAATTATTTTGTATTAATCTCCTTTTCCAGTTAATTAATACTTTTATTTTGTTTAGATTTAGAGGCTATAGGTGAAGTTTTTAAGGCTGAACTGTTAATAAATCTTTCGCAGCCTAAAGACACCCCACCCCCCCCTTTCCAACCCAAACACCAGCAAATTTTTCCAGTTAATTAATACTTTTATTTTGTTTAGATTTAGAGGCTATAGGTGAAGTTTTTAAGGCTGAACTGTTAATAAATCTTTCGCAGCCTAAAGACACCCCCCCCCCCCTTTCCAAACCAAACACAAGCAAAATTTTAATTATCAGCAGCATCAAGAGGGTTTAAGTTAATGATAGAAATAACTTTTATATGCAACAACAACAACAAAAATTTTAACATTTATAATAGTAATATTATAATAGTATAGTCAATACAAATAATCACAACATATTATTAATTTGTATTATTATATAATTTGGAGTATTTTTTTTAATGGAGAGAGTGAAAAACAATTTCTAGTAGAAATTCCACAGCTCAGTAACAAATAAATTACAGGTCCCAACCTTTGTGTTTTATTGCACCCTCTTTATAAAGCAAAGTGACCTTTTAACTCATTTTATGAAAGCAAAGTGACCTTTTAACTCATTTTATGAAAGCAAAGTGATCACGACCCCAAACATTTTTGAAAAATAAGCACCGGTATATTAAGAAAAAACACAATGAAAATAGATCCAGCATATTGAAATAAAACTTTAAAAAAAAATTAAAATGCTTCAGAGGGGTACACCACATAAATCCATATTTGGTGTAACAAAAAGTAGGTTGGGAACTAGTGAACTCAATACTAAGATAACATTCAAGCATATATTTCATATATTTTTTAATACCGATACATTAAAACCATATAAATAACTTGAAACATGCTTATTATTATTTTTTTAAATATTATCAAGACTTCTATTTTTCGAGAACCAAATAAATGGAACATTATTTTCTTCCAAAATTTTACCATTTATTTAATCAGCTTCATTTAAAAAAGCTGGTATCAGACAGGCAATGTAACCCTCTCACATATATTAACACTGCATATTTCCTAACAAAGACTATACAAATTAGCCATTTTTAAATCCTTTATATTAACTTGGCTTTTGTTTGTGTGTTTCTAACTGGCAAAATATTTGGATGGCTAATTGCCCGCATTCACATCAGCCTATCGAGCTGAAACTTGGCAAAGAGACTCGTTGCACATGACAACACATTCTATTAAGTTTTCAGCCACAACCCACAAAACTCTGTATTTCCTGTTTTTCAGGTGGAAAATGAAGGAAATATAATGACATTGATTTCACAAAAATGATATTCTGATAACTGCAGTAAATGAGATTCTTTTTAAAAAATATAGCAAGTGCATAATAATTTTTTGTGTGAAAAAGTTGGTGAAATAATAAATCTGCGGTATAAAAGCCGGTGGGACATTAGAATATTACCATTAATAAAAATAAATAAAATATGCATAGAAAGGATTTATACCAAATTTTTAGGGGGTATTTAATTTAAGACTCCGTTCAAAACAGCATCCCTATTTTTCATTTTATTATTTTAACAGAATTCTGATCACAAATTTAATAAATTCCCACGAATCTATGAGGACGGATGGAAGAAATGTCGTTTGAAATTTTGTTACACAGTATAGTAATAAATAATTGTATCAATAAGGATAAAACACAAAATCTTCAAATTCAGATGAACATTAAAAAATTATATTGATCTTAAATAATATTTCATGAAAAAATATATAAAGTATATTTTTTAACAAAAATAGTTTTTTTTCGTAAAGTAAATAAACAGAAGTTAGGGATATCACACTATTTTTACCTAATTTTGACCCACTCAGCCCCATCGTCAAAATTTGTCAGACAAGTTTGTGACCCCTCCCCCCACCAAAACTAGACATGTGACATTATTAATGGATGACCCCTTATAGCAAACAATGTGAGATTCTAGAAAAAACTAAAATAAAAAAAAACTGGTGCAAAATATTGCACAAGCATACAAAATAAAATGAGTAAAACAGAGTAGGGTTAAACCTGAAAAAATAAACGCAACAAAACAGCGAACGTGTCGGCAGAAAGCCTTCGTCAGCGAACACAACAACAGAAAAAACGTTATAAAAATAAGAAATAGCACTTAGCTGGTAAGTAGTATCTGTGGGCAGCAATAGAAGTGTGGCAGAAGGAAAATGAGTGAGAGTTTAAATAAGCAGCGGCGAAAAAAAGGGGGGAGAAAAATGTTCACTGTGATAGTTCAGAACATGGAGGGGCGGAGCTAGGGTCAAGCTGTTTTTATTTTGTACTAACCTGATTGCAGTCTCTCCCCTTATTACCACAAGCATACAGTTTGGAGTAGCTTAACATTTAATGTGATCATCAAACAATTTGATCGAAGAGCATAAAAAAAAAACTATTTAAACATACCCGGTAACTATAATATTGATTTAGTAGCACACGAATGGGCAGTGTTGGTTAGCATAGGCACAGTTGTGATTTAAACTATAGATATTCAGCATAATTGCCACCATGGATGAGAGGTGCCAAGTTCTAAAGACAAATTCTTTAAAGCATAGGAAAACCTGTGCATTATATTGTTACTCCAAAACTAGCTACACCAGGTTATATCTTGCTTACATTTACCAATAAACCAAATGTACATCACTTTGTTCTTCCAGTTCAGTTTGTCCATGGGTATTAAATCAGATTTTGGTGTCCACTTGAGAGCATCAGAAGGCGATATAGGTGGTGGAAAAATTCTCCGAGCAGAGCCTCTGCGATTATGTTCAAGATATGCTGTCTTAATAGCATTACTTAAATCAGATGTCAAACATTGTTTACAGAGCTTGCACACTAAAGGGTGACAGTTGGCAGTGCAAGCTTTTCCTAAGCAGTATTCGGGAAACACATGAATATCCTGAGAAGAAACATACATGGGGTCATCATGTGAAAAACTTGTCTTGTTAGAAGAGGATGTAAGATGTCCAACGCCTACAAGACCTAGGTAGTTGAAAATAACATGTTCATAGAGGCGAGCATTATCAGGGAAATGATCTGAGGACAAGTTTGGTGACATGTTTGCCTCCATTAAGAATACTTGCATATGGTCGTCAACTAAAAAGTCAAATCGCATCATCTCAAAAAAGTTTCTCTTTGACTGGTATTTTTGAAGAGAACTGACAAGTTCAGATTCTTTCTGCAGCAAAACCTCTCTGATAGCAAAATAAATTTTATCCCAGAGGGCTTTTGGTTCATGTCCCATGGTAATCAAGAAGTTATTAAATGAATTCTTGAACGAGAACCCATGAGTTAAAATGTATTTCTCAAGAGAAGGTAATTTCCACATTGGAAGGTAGTCATCTCCAATCACATATTTGTCCAAGTTATTGCTATCAAAAGGGTAATACTCCTGTGGGCAGAATCTGAACAGAGTTTCTCCATCAATGACATAAGCTCTGAGTGGATCAATGGATGCAATGACCATATAAACTCCAATATCAAACATTCTGCCATCAATGAGGAAAGGGTTGCCTATAAACTGCTGAACAAAAGTATCTCCCTTCGTTAAATCAACATCCCCAAACTTCTTGACTTGAATACCTCTATGATTATTGCTCTTCTGAACCCAGCTTGTGTTCGTATTGCTGCTGGCAAAGTTAACAAAAGAACTTTTCTGAGCTGGCAATGCAAATGCTAAGGGGATAAAATGCATATTTGTCTGAGCTAGATAAACTTTATTTGTAATATATCCAGAGCCTGGGAAATGATTAATTTTCTGGTACGGCTTCAGGTTTTGCATGACCGATTTATAGGTCACAAATGGGTAGTCATGACTCCACATAACGAGCCAATCAGAATTTTTGTCCCCGAATTTAAAGCCCATCTTCTCAAACACTTGATAGACATGCTTTAAATATCCTTTGGGGCCATTGTCTTTTGCCTTAGGGCTTCCTTGGATCCATACAACAGGGGCTACAACATCCTGGTCGGATGGTACTTCTTTTCTGAATGGAATAATAATAATAATAATAATCCATAAAAGTACCGGTATTAGGTGTTCATAAAACAATGATTCTCAAAACAAAAACAAGGAATTTTTTAATTTAATATATATTCTTCACACATATTTCTAGGGAAAGAATTTAATTAAGCCACAGTTTGTCCATTTTAAAAATCTAGAACTAGACTCAGACAAACATACAATTACAATTTACATAATATATGCATCTTACACAATTTTTGTTGATTTCAAGTAGTGAAGCTGGTATAGATTTATAGCAGTGAGGACGGTGCCAAGCAGTAGAACAAACACAACCAAGCAGAAAAATTTGTTGATTTTAATTGGGCGTGAATTTTGAAGCTTATACAACTTGTAAATCACCTTGAACTGGCTTCCCAGCATTCTGGACTGAGAAATTAAGAAAATTTAAATTTGTGATTCATTTTTAAATAGCTTTAATTTTAATTAAATTATCCACGATTTCTTTAAATTAAATACAGTTATGTATTCCATAACACAGGAGTAAAAAGGTTGACCTAAACATATACAATTTTAGTTATGATTATAAAGAATCACATAAGAAATAATGTGCACACTTTCACACAGAATGACAAAACTAGTATAATGTAACTACAAGACATCCAAAAAATAATTCTACTGGGTATAATGAGTTGCACTGTGCTAGGCTTGCGGAAATTTAGAAACATCAAAATTTTTTTTAAAAAACTGGCATATCATTTATCTCAGTTTTCTTAGGCTTAGTCTAGACTTTAAAAAAGTTCAATTAGGACTATGAGCCCTGAGGTCCAATTGCAACACAATGACAATTAAAACTGAATTCATTTATTTGAAATTAATTGTTTAAAATAAAGGCTACCCATCAACAATTAAATAATATGCAATTTTAAAGTTTCAAGTCACTACTGAAACTACTTAAAGTATTATTTTAGTATTTATCCAAAAAGCATTTTGTCAAAATGGCCTCTAACACACAGCGCCGCCATTCGCACCCGGGTCCAATGAGACCAATGCTATTCGGATGTCATTTTTGGTAGTTTATTTTAGTAAGTTTACAAACATATATTCCATTTAATCCCAACCTCTCACTTCTGGTACCCCGGTATGAATAGTTGCAGCCAAGTTACAAAGCCCCATTTGTTTTTTTTGTTTTTTTTCACCTTCTGGCCAGATTTTTAATCACCTATAAGTTAGTATGCTAAACGAAATTTTAAAACTCTAGGCATGTTCACAAAAAAGAAAGAAATACTGGATTTTTCATTTGCACGAACCCTCCCCACCCCCCTTTCTTTTTTCCCTCTAAGAGCGCTCGGAATATACAGGTTGTCCCTTGAAGAATTGGGGGGGGGAGGAAGGATTAGAAGTGGATTATCGACTAAGGCAATGTACACACACTACATCATTGTCCTGGAGTGGAGCTGAAGAGGGGGGTCCACAAATTTGTGACAATATGTGATCACGTGTCCACTTTTTAAACAAATATTTGTGACGTTGCAGAAATGAGGCGATTTAGTGGGATCACTTTGTTCAAAATGGCAGGACGACCAAGAAACAATAATTCAAATTGTTGATCCAATGGAAATTTTAAATGATGCAGTGTTTGGTTTTATACTCACACATTGTGAGGCAACAAATAACGTTAATACAACTATGGATTTTCTCATAAGACGTTCCCCTTTCAAGAACAAAATGGAATGTAACAGTTGCAATGTGGCTTGTAAACTGGCTACGAATGTCAAGTATGAGAGCTCCCTATAACTCTGGTTATATTTCATAGTAAAGGTATAAAATAAATGCAACCAGATACTATCAGATACATCCAATTGGGAAACTTTTATAACGTATCTTTAAATTTAAAGACAGATGAGTTATTCTTGTGATTTACCACAATGGATCTGTAAAAGACAAAAGATCCATACAAATGTACTTTTTTATCTCAAAAAATTTGTTAAAATATTGTTGTACCTATTCCAACAAAAAGATGGCATTTTACTTTTAAAAAATACTGTTATATCATAATTATCCCCCACCTGAACTTTTACCAACCCTTAACTATTGAATTTAAAATTAAGTATTAATAAGCTCTTACAATTCGAAAGCATGGCATGCTGCATACACAACTTCTCCGACCCAACAAAAACTAAATTTCGTCAATTTTTTTGACTTTACAAGGCAAAAGGGTAAGCCGACAAAAGTAAAAGCCTTGAAAAGCACTTTTTAACTTAGTATTCTTATGTAATTCTTTAATTTTAGCTTAGGCTAAGCCACTAAGGCCAAACCCAAAGTCAAAGTCCAATCGACAAGCCATTACTCTTACTAACAAGGGCCTAAGCAGCTGTGACATAACATATTTTATTTGTAAAGTCTATCATTCACATTAGACTAATTATATTAATTATTAATATACTTATGGGACTGTTTTTTTAACAACTTGTTTTCATTGGAGACCGGAACATTTAAACAAGAGCGAGCACTCTTGCATATAACGGGTTGGTAGAAAGCTTACCAGATTGGCCTTTTAAATGCCAGATTCCTTAGATTTGGCCTTTTTCAAGACAGTAGTCGGTTGTGGGAATTCCATTTGGCCATTATTGGCCTATTGTTAAGCGTTGTCGATGATTTATATAGATCTGGTGTAATTCCTGATGCTCAACTTAAAAAGTCGAACAACAATGTGGCTCGTTCAGTGTGGAACCGATCGATATCTGTCATCATGTCCCATTCTTAAACTTACGTCCTGTCCATGGGCGCCCGCAAAAAAATTTTTAGTAATGTTTTAATGTAGTTTTAATTTACTGTAGCGTATTTGTATGGTGAACGAACGGACATGACATCAGCTTAGTTACTTTCTCTTTATTTTCTCTTTACTTTAATACATTTTTTGTCTATTTTTGTCTAAACAAATTTTATCCAATCAATGCGGGCGCCCATGTTTGTATCCTAACTCATTGCCATTGTAGCCAATTGCAACTAGCTTATTACAGTTGTAGCTTGTAGTAGTCACTCACTGCAATTGTAATTTATTGTAATTGTGTACCACTGACCACATCACTGACCACATCACTGACCACATCACTGACCACATCACTGACCACATCACTGACCACATCACTGACCACATCACTGACCACATCACTGACCACATCACTGACCACATCACTGACCACATGTGAAAAAAAAATACTTTCCTTAGTTTATTCAGCATTTACTAAATATAATAGCTGTTATGTTAATTCAGCATATAATATAATAGCTGTTATGTTAATTCAGCATATTCCGAGCAAGGATCGGTCTAACAAGCCACCTAAGAGCTCACCGTAATCCCAACCCCCCCCCCCCCCCCCCAGATGATTCGATGGTCCTTGTCGACTTCGACGGACGAACAACAGAATTCAGCATATAATATAACAGCTGTTATGGGGGTTGTTGTAGACTTGATCTCCCAACAAGAAAATATTGTCATACAAATACAATTCAAAATATATGTATTTTAATATTATTCTTTCAGTTGAAAATTGCTGAACTGATGAACGATGTCTTCAGCTTACTTTCACGGCACAGGATTCAACTAGAGGCCAGCTTTGCAACCATCATATTAGCTATTGCCATGTTGGAAGGCTTGGGGAAATCTTTGGATCCAAATCTTGACATTTTAGCAAAGGCTCGGACTGTGTTATTGGGGGCTGCCATCAGAGGCACATGAACCAGTCATGGTAGGTATGCCTTTATCACTTTTCATCGACTTGTCGCCAAAGGGCGTCCTCATAACACAGCAACAAGAGAAACTCTTGAACAATCTCTTTGGCTTTGCATGTACGCATCTTAACTTCATACACGGCTTGACAGGAAAATGGCTTGTTCAAAGTCTGATAATAGTCAAATATTGTGTTCTTTTGCAGTGAGCAATAGCAATTCTGTTTAAAATGGACTCAGATGATGAATTGATAAGAATTTATATGTATGGACTCAGATGATGAATTGATAAGAATTTATATGTATTCGACATAATTCCTCAGTTAATAATGCCACCTGTAGTAATAAAGATTCCTGTATTTTAGTCAATCAAGATATATACAAAGTTATTGAGTTTACGGTATTTACAACCTTATTTTTCACCAAAGTGGGGTGGTAAATTCATGTGGTAAGATGGGTTATTTCACTCTGTACGCTATGTGTAATATAATGTTATAAGCCCTGGGCTTCTAAACTCAAACATTGGTTTTGAACTTTGGAAGTAATTGCAGGGGGGATATTTACATGGTAAATCAACGAAAGGGAGATGAATGGATTATGTAGCTGTCCCCCTTAATATGCTGTCATTTATTAATAGTATGGTTCTTTTCTGTATAATTCTTTGTGGACACATTTAAAATTACTTTGTCATGTGTAAGGTGTTAATGTAAATAATGGTTTTTGGTCCTTGACTTGATCAGAATGTGAACGCATGTTCGTACAATGTGACACATGTTAGTTTGCACAGTACGTGTTGGCACAGTACGAACTGATTTAAATATTGATAAAAGTGCAATGTTATCAATTTTGTTTTTTTCATTTTTTCCCTAAGTTCCAATGCTTGCATTTTGTCACAATGAAGACACTCTTTATTTAGATGCGACACTCTTAAATTAAAATAATAGGTCTAGACTTATGGGGAGATAATTCTTTCATTGTTAAAAAAAATGTGTTTCTTTTCTCTCCTTGAAAATATAGTGGTAAAAAAAATGAAATAATCCTACACACAACAAAAATTAATTTAGAATTAAAATAATAGTAAATATAATTAGACTGATAATATCAAAGTAGATAATACCATTAAAGTGATTTTATTCTAACATGATTGATTAACTGATGCGTGGCCATCAGAAACTCTTCAAATCATAATATCCACAAAACAAAATAATTCTTAAGTTACACGCCGATGTCCTCTGATTGCAATACAGAATAATATTTGACAGAATGTGTCAATAAAATTAACAAGTACAAAAGATACAGTCTAATATGTGACAGAATCAGAATATGTCAATAACATTAACAAATACAACAGAATTCTCAAAAGCATTGTATTTGTAGGTAACATATTGGTTTATTTGCTGTGCATTCCCATAACATTCAAGTTTGGAGACAATATAAATATTAAATAGGATGAAATGGAGCGCAAGTTTGCTTACATTAAAATACATGAATCATCACAACACAACATTTTGAGAAGCAACACAACAAACGCATCTCTTTTCTTAGACCATGAACACCCTCTCCCATTCTGGTTTATTCATTATATTTAAATGATGACCTACTGACCATTGGCTTAATATTAAGTCAAAGTGCTGATAACTCCCAACCGGTATTCAGCTTGAGTTCTTGCACACTTGGAGCATTTCATCAGGTTTAATTATAACAAGGACTTCGAAATAAATTGGAAAACTGACTATTACTTAAATGGTCTCATTCTATAAATGGTCTCATTCTATAAATGGTCTCATTATATAAATGATATCATTATATAAATGGTCTCATTCTATATTGATTTACAATGAAATAATTTTTGCACATTTCAAAGACAGCAGATGAAAATATCACTTAATAAAATCTGTGCTGCCAGGGCCCATAATGAGGTTGCAAGCCTCTGGACCCCGCTTTCCATCATTGGAATTAGAGTAATCAAAGGATCTATAAATAGAAGCACAGATATTAGTTAAAACTACAGAAATTGTGAAGAAATAAAATAAAAACACAAAAAATTTAATCAGGATTGGGATTTTCAAAAATGTGTATACACCTGCAGTGCTTTAAACCACTGTTAAGACAGTAGAACCCTGCAGGAAGTAGACAGCCATACTTGGGTTCCGTAATATCTGAATGCTTCGTTGCATTAATTGCGGATTTTGTGCAAATATAACTGGGATTTTTAATATATAGTAGGAAGTAGCAAGATGTTATTTCGTTATATCAAACAGTATGGTGCTGGAATATGAATAGGTGTAGTGCATCTGTGATTGTGTTTTAAAAGAAAATGCATTTTTTTAATAGCAGTAATCTTTTTTTTGCCCAAAAACTTTAAAAACATTTATGTGCAAATGAAAATATTAAATTTTTGCAGCCACGCCACAACGGTGTTATTGCGGCGGGGTTCAATTGTAGTTTATTTGATGTGGCCCCTGTCTTATCTTACACAACATAATCATTTTATACATAGAGGAAATAGTTTTTTTGTTTTTTATGGCATAGGCAAGAGATAATAGGCAAATCTATAGGCTCTTAGCGACAAATCAATTGATGACATTGTAAATCTACAGGCTCTTAGTGACAAATCAATTGATGACATTGTAAATCACTCATAAGCTATTATTGTACAGCAGTTACTGAACCAAACTTAAATGTACTGATATACAACAGGCTTGGTTTTAAAAAAAAAAGTATTTAAGAAAAAAAATGTTAATTTAAAAAAAGAAGAAAAAAATTGTATAAAATAAACTAATTATACAATTATTTATTTTTTTGTAGTTGGGCAATCATGATTGTTTTTCTTAAATACAATTAGTTTTGTGATCTTTAAATTAACAAATAAAAGAATATAATAAATTTTATAAGATATCCCATTCGAATCGTTTATTTCATGTTAAATTCACAGCTCAGATTTTAATAATTCTAAACAAATAATTCTTGCTGGAATGCCAGCGTAAATACCCAATTTTATAATTCTTTGAACATGAGTAAAAGTTATACCACTTCTCCTTCAAACTGTCATATGCCTTGTCCAATTTGACTAAAGTAAGAGTAAGAGAGTGATCAAAGCCATGAAGAATGGGCACAGAAAAATGTATTGACATACAACCAATTGGGGGAGATTGGTGTGATTAATTTGTATATAGAGTTAAGCTTAATCCTACCAATCTGCACATTTTTTTAGCCCCACACACACAGTACCATCAATCAACAATGCCATATTTAATCAAATACATTAGTATTTCTCATAATATTTTATGACACACCCACGTTCTCTTTTATTAAACATCTATGAATCTGTTGTGACACACTGTTGTCTCTTTCATAACACATGTATGAATCTGTTGTGCCTAAGACTCATGTGTGTTACAGAAACTATGTTTGCCTCCCTTGTTGATAGAAGTAAAAGTTATCTTACTTTTTTCTAAGATAAAAGAGGGAAAGCAAACTTAAGTTATCAGGAGGAAGTTGAGAGGGGGGGGGGGGGTTCCATCTAATATTCATTGCACTGAGGGGACAAAGTGGTTAGGTAAGGGGAGCTCATGCATAATTCTTGTGGTAATAGAATCTTAACTCATAGTTTACATACCCCCTTCTGGTAACTGCTCATAAAGAAATAATAAACATTCTCATTTTTGTACCATTGCTGTTCCAAAACATTGGTCCACATACAGCTGATTTAACTTGGAGTTTGTCATGCCAGCAAAAATAGTATTTACTTTTATTTTAAAATTAGCTTTTAAAAATTCCTCAATGTTCTGTGTGTGATTTCTAATGTTTAATCATGAAAAATAAACTGTTAAATGTTTTTAAAAAAGTGTTAAAAATAAACTAATAAGTTAAAAATAGCAATGTCAGGTGGAAATGCATGGTAGCTATATTGTACATAAACCAGAGAAATAACTTAACCTCTAATTATTGATGTGTACATATTGATATGTTACGTGGATTCAAGTTAGTGCTATGGTTGGTGGAAAAAGGTTCTGCTTTGAAGGTGAAACCCCCCCCCCTCCTTTTCCCCCACAAAAAATATTTAATAATTAAAATCTGATTAGAAATAACTTTACCTCTAATTATTGATGTGTACATATTGATATGTTACGTGGATTCAAGTTTGGGCTATGGTTGGTGGAAAAAGGTTCTGCTTTGAAGGTGAAACCCCCCCCCCCTCCTTTTCCCCCACAAAAAATATTTAATAATTAAAATCTGATTAGCGCGCAGTCTGAAATGTAAAAAGTTTAGCGTCTTGATTCAAAGAGGGCAAAGTTTTGTTGCAAGTGGCACTATCTTTGCCAGGAAGTTAAACATTCAATGTGCTTTATGCAAACAAAAACATTCTTAGAATTCAAGGACAAATGAGAATGTTCTTATTTTAGGCCTCAACCAAATGAGAATGTTCTTATTCAAGACCTTAACCAAATGAGAATGTTCTTATTTTAGGCATCAACCAAATGAGAATGTTCTTATTTTAGGCCTCAACCAAATGAGATCATGAATGATTTAAGATTACATACATATAGATATATACACACACATACACACAGATGCAATAAGGATGAAAAAAAAAATTGTAACTAACAAATTTTATGACATTAATTCAAATCTTTACTACAGGGCATGAATTTTGAATTTCCACTTGACTGTATGACTTATCAGGACCAGTCTCATACCAATTTGACTATATGACTTATCAGGACTAGTTTCATACCAACTTGACTATATGACTTATCAGGACCAGTCTCACAACAATAGGCTCTATGAAATAGGGATGTTAACAGAACAATAAAATATATATATATATATATATTTGTTTTTTAAATTACATTAATATTTATGTTGTTCTTTCCCCCACCTTAAATTGGGGTCAGATCATAAAAACCTTTAGGATTCAGTGATAAAGAAGACAACTAAAGCAGGCTTATATTTGAACTTCTAACAGCACTGTAATAAAAAAAAAAAACTGTCATTGGCAGCTTCTCTTCATCTAAGTTGCTACATAGAAGAGTTCTAACAGCTGGATGGCTTCCTAACTCTAGGAGCAGAGAATTCCACCACAACTATCTTACTGCATCAGCCAATATTAAATAAATGACAGCCTCCACATGACCACCAATGTCATTGTTGTCATTAAGGTGGATGGATGTCAAGTACTGCCACCACTTACATTATCATTGAGTTGGATGTATGTCAAGTACTGCCACCACCTACATTATCATTGAGTTGGATGGATGTCAAGTACTGCCACCACTTACATTGTCATTAAGGTGGATGGATGTCAAGTACTGCCACCACTTTCATTGTCATTAAGGTGGATGGATGTCAAGTACTGCCACCACTTACATTGTCATTGAGGTGGATGGATGGCAAGTACTGCCACCACTTAAATTGTCATTGAGTTGGATATCAAGTACTTCCACCACTTAAATTGTCATTGAGGTGGATGTCAAGTACTACCACTACTTAAATTGTCATTGAGTTGGATATCAAGTACTTCCACCACTTAAATTGTCATTGAGTTGGATGTCAAGTACTACCACCACTTAAATTGTCATTGAGTTGGATGTCAAGTACTACCACCACTTAAATTGTCATTGAGATGGATGTCAAGAACTACCACCACTTAAATTGTCATTGAGGTGGATGGATGTCAAGTACTACCACCACTTAAATTGTCATTGAGTTGGATGGATGTCAAGTACTACCACCAGTTAAATTGTCATTGAGTTGGATGCCAAGTACTACCACCCCTTAAATTGTCATTGAGATGGATGTCAAGTACTATCACTACTTAAATTGTCATTGAGGTGGATGGATGTCAAGTAATACCACCACTTAAATAGTCATTGAGATGGATGTCAAGTACTACCACCACTTAAATTGTCATTGAGGTGGATGGATGTCAAGTACTACCACCACTTACATTGTCATTGAGGTGGATGGATGTCAAGTACTACCACCACTTAAATTGTCATTGAGTTGGATGTCAAGCACAACCACTACTTAAATTGTCATTGAGTTGGATATCAAGTACTTCCACCACTTAAATTGTCATTGAGGTGGATGGATGTCAAGTACTACCACCACTTAAATTGTCATTGATATGGATTTCAAGTACTACCACCACTTAAATTGTCATTGAGGTGGATGGATGTCAAGTACTACCACCACTTAAATTTTCATTGAGGTGGATGGATGTCAAGTACTACCACCACTTAAATAGTCATTGAGTTGGATGCCAAGTACTACCACCCCTTAAATTGTCATTGAGATGGATGTCAAGTACTATCACTACTTAAATTGTCATTGAGGTGGATGGATGTCAAGTACTACCACCACTTAAATAGTCATTGAGATGGATGTCAAGTACTACCACCACTTAAATTGTCATTGAGGTGGATGGATGTCAAGTACTACCACCACTTACATTGTCATTGAGGTGGATGGATGTCAAGTACTTCCACCACTTAAATTGTCATTGAGGTGGATGGATGTCAAGTACTAACCACCACTTAAATAGTCATTGAGTTGGATGTCAAGTACTACCACCACTTAAATTGTCATTGAGATGGATGTCAAGTACTACCACCACTTAAATTGTCATTGAGGTGGATGGATGTCAAGTACTACCACCACTTACATTGTCATTGAGGTGGATGGATGTCAAGTAATACCACCACTTAAATTGTCATTGAGTTGGATGTCAAGTACTACCACCACTTAAATTGTCATTGAGGTGGATGGATGTCAAGTACTACCACCACTTAAATTGTCATTGAGTTGGATGTCAAGTACTACCACCACTTAAATTGTCATTGAGTTGGATGTCAAGTACTAGCACCACTTAAAATGTCATTGAGATGGATGTCAAGTACTAACACCACTTAAATTGTCATTGAGGTGGATGGATGTCAAGTACTACCACCACTTAAATTGTCATTGAGATGGATGGATGTCAAGTACTACCACCACTTAAATTGTCATTGAGGTGGATGTCAAGTACTACCACCACTTAAATTGTCATTGAGGTGGATGTCAAGTACTACCACCACTTAAATTTTCATTGAGGTGGATGTCAAGTACTACCACCACTTAAATTGTCATTGAGGTGGATGGATGCAAGTACTAACAACACTTAAATTGTCATTGAGGTGGATGGATGCAAGTACTAACACCACTTAAATTGTCATTGAGGTGGATGTCAAGTACTACCACCAGTTAAATTGTCATTGATGTGTATTTCAATTACTAGCATCACTTAAATTGTCATTGAGGTGGATGGATGCAAGTACTAACACCACTTAAATTGTCATTGAAGTGGATGTCAAGTACCCCCATCACTTAAATTGGCATTGAGGTGGATGTCAAGTACTATTAACACTTAAATTGTCACTCATGTCTCCTTTGTTTTTTTTTAAACAGAAGGTTTCTGATTTCAGGACCCACCATGAGGTCAAGAGGTTAATTGTAAGTCATTCTCAATTGTGACAATGGTAACAAAAATGGTGAGCAGACACTGGGGATTTTAATTTCTGTCATAGAAAAGGTTGTGGATATAAAGAACATTTTAACCAAACAGATGGTAACTGTGTATTTGATGGTAACTGTGGATCTGATGGTAACTGTGGATCTGATGGTAACTGTGGATCTGATGGTAACTGTGGATCTGATGGTAGCTGTGTATTTGGAAAAAAAGAGATGAAGCTCACAATGCATTGGATGATTCAGGGCAATATGAAGCAATGTAACACACACAGGCAATGAATATCATCTTATAATGTCTGCTTTCATTAAAATGTTAAAAATTTAAGGGAATTCAATCTAGAAAATCATGAAAAACAACGTTCTAAAATATAAGTACGGTATCAAATAGGCAAAGTCACCCCAATTTCATGGTACACGTAAACCTGTCCCTATCGGCAAGTGGAAAAAGCTGTGTTATGCTAAAACTAAAACTGCTATCTTTTCAAAATCAAAATAAAAGCTATTTTTACATTTACTCTTCATTTTATTGACTTCACTTATGTTTTCAACATTGACAACTGTTAATAACTTTTTGCCTGGATTACATTTTGACTAGCCAAGACAAGGGTCTTCTCATTTTCTAGCTGGCTAAACAATTCTAACAACCTCTGTGACTTAACAAAGGGTTTCACTCAGTACAAAGTACGGAGGCACCTTAAAGTGAGGGGGTCAGCATAATGTGAAGAGTCACCCTAAAGTGAGGGGGTCAAAATAATGTGAAGAGTCACCATAAAGTGAGGGGGTCAACATAATGTGAAGAGTCACCCTAAAGTGAGGAGTCACATTAAAGTGAGGGGGGTCAGCATAAAGTGAGTGGGTCAACAAAATGTGAAGTCACCCTAAAGTGAGGCATCACCATAAAGTGATGAGTCGCCACCGCTTCACCTGAAGCAGGTAGGATCCAGATAATTGGCTGAAAGTGAAAGTGGCATGAGCACAATAGTCCTGGTAAAAAAATGTGACTGAACAAACACATAAGCAAAATGAGGAAAAATTATAAAAAGTCAGAAGTGTTTCAACATTGGCATGAATCAATTACAGCTGAGATGCAAAAAAAAAAAAACAACAACACAAAAACTGAACATATTTAGTGATCTAAGAACACTTACTTCGCTTTAAACAAAAATTAGCAAAATTTAAAATTTTATTATATTTTATCATGTTTATAAAAAAAATATACATTTATAGAAAAACAGTGTATTATTATAAATAAATGCTAAGTACATTCATTGCTCTTCAACAGCGACCCCTGACAAGAACAATCAACTCAAACAAAAAAGCAAACCTTAACATATTGATTATGGTAGTTGAACAAGTTTTGATCACAGTTTTGTCATACATGACACGGCAACAAAAAGAAAAGAACAAAAAAAAACCCACAAAAACAAGGTGTTTGCATTGCCAAATTATAGTTATAATTCTAAGCATAGCAAAAAAGGAGTGTGCAAATAGGTAGAGTTGGATCCTGATCACAATGATGGCTTTATATGCAACCCTACATCATTTCCTATTGCCATCATTTTGTTGTTGCTCCAGATTCCAAAACAGTAACAACAAGATTAAGAATTCAACAAATTATGACACCTTTAAATGTCACCTTTCAGTTTTGTACTAAATTATGACAGACTAAATGTCACCTTTCAGTTGTGTACTAAATTATGACAGACTAAATGGCACCTTTCAGTTGTGTACTAAATTATGACAGACTAAATGTCCAGCTGGATACCAGACGTCAGATATCTAGCACTCGGAGGAGTTGAATGTGACACCCAACCAGAAATCTCTCAAGGTTAATTCATATAAAAATTGGGTAAAAATTACGGACAAATTTTGGTTGACCATCTTTCTAATTTGCATCATTTAGCAGCGAGGCAATTTTGAGTGAAATATAAAAATCACTGTAATTCACTTGGGCCAATGTTTCTCTTTTTAACCTATATAACTGCAGTCATCACCCTGGTGAATTCTTTATGAAGGCATGCCTATATAACCGCATTCATCACCCTGGTAAATTCTTTATGAAGGCCTGCCTATATAACTGCAGTCATCACCCAGTCAATTTTTATGAAGCCATCATCCAAGTGAATTCTTTATAAAGGCCTGTTTACAACACATTTTAAAAGTGTGATCAAACCAGTTTATCTAATCTCAGGGCCGACAAGGAAATGTTATCTAATCAAGTTTGTCTCATTCAATATAATATCTTGCAAACGTTTAAACAGACGAAGTAACACACTGAATCCCAAACACACCTTGAACTTCAGTAACTCTCTTATCACTCCTACTGACATACTTGAATGACTAAGCTTGTCAGTCAGGTGTAACAGCTTGGAAAATAACACAATATGCATAACAATGAACAATGACATGCAATCATCCATGCTGGGTTCTCTGTGAGCACATGGGTCCATAGGTTAAATTAAATAAAATAAATTGTCTTGTTCTTTGCTTCTTAATCCATGACTTCATGAGACATAAAAAGAGTCATGATAGGTTTTTTTTAAATGTTGACTTTGTTTTTAGTCAATACTGGAACAGTTTTTTATATCATTTAACAAAACAAATAGCGGAACAAGAAAGATATGATTATGCTTGAAAAAAAAATGGCAGATTAAAAGGACGTTTCATCCAAATGCCTTCTTCAGCAGACAAGACAAGAAATAACAAATTAATTGAAATTAAAAACTTAAGTGTTCCCAGATGACAATTTAGTTCTCTTAGTCTCTATGTAGAAACGAAGTCGTACGATAACATTGGAAGCAAAACTATTCAAAACCAAAACTTAATTATGAGGCGAATATTGTCAAGGTAGAAGTTTTAAGTTTTTAAAGCATTATTAATGTAAAATTAATACTTTAAACTACAAAAAATGAGAACAGAAACTGAGAGAAATTGAGGACCACTAGTAAGAGAGTATTTGATTAATTCCATATGGTTATATGGTGCTGAAAAGCTGAATTAATCTCTTTTCATTCTTCACGCTCGCTGTTGTACCACTATTTATTTACTTCACACGGCTTGAACGCTCTCTCCCCCCCCCCACATTTTTTTTAAAACTTGGAAGTAAGCTTTTTACACAAAAACCTTGATGGGAAAATAATTAAAATAATTTAGTCAAACAATCGTACACATTAATTTTCATAAAATTGTAGAGTTGATATTTTTAGCTTCTTTTAATCTTACTAAAACTCAGTACAAGACAAGAATGCTCAAAACTGAAACAATCCACAATTAACAAAGGAACTTACAAAAATTAACCAAATCACCACAATGAAGAAATACGCCTTCAGTAGAGCCAGATGTTAACCTGGTTTAGTTGATATCACTATTTATCACTGCTGTACTAAGAAATAGTCATCTGAAATCCTTTTCAGGTGATACATTGGAAGTCAATGGAAGAAATGCCCCAATTTTTTCTATCATTTCACCAAAGAACAGTGAGGAAAGCTGTAAGAATCGGCATAGTGTTTTCACGTCATTTTGGTCCCCGACGCCGTCATCTGTTGCTCCTGATGCTTGGTGGTCACTGGTTTGATGACCTCTCTATGACACTGCAGAGTGGATTCATGTCGACATCAATATGAGCCATTTGTAAATAGCACAAGCAGTAACAGTAAATGAATCATGAGCTGCTATCACTTACATTCATATAATAAGATTGCAACCACTAGCGAGGTTGCAACCGTAAGTACAAAACATTTGTATCATTGGTCACTGTCGATGTCACAAAGAGTCCATAGAATCACAAGAATGTAAACAAGTACAAATGAAAGAACAATTCATGAATGAACAAAGTAGCTCTCTGAAGAAAAAAAAAAATCTATAATAATAAAAACTGTGAAAACTGTGAAACAGTGCAGCTTGTATGTCTGACCTAGATATTTACATCATTTGTTGCAAGCAAAAGGAATATCTGGAAAATCAGTGATCGTGGGTCGTTCGTGTAAGCGGTTATTGTTTTTGGGCCGGTGGCTATTTGGTGTTATTTTATTCAGCCTGATCCATTCCTGTAAACGATGATTACTTTGAATCTTAAAAGCCATATTTCAAGAAGCTCACAGCTAATCGGCCATTTTCATTTTGCTTGCAAGAAATAAAATTTTCTCCTTTTAAACTTTGAAATATGATTCAAAAGACCAGCCAGATGTATTTGATTAGACCATATTTATATCAGTCAGGCAAGCAAAAGTGTGTGCAAAACAATGATTTCTTTTGAAAGTGATAACAATAACATCCTCGCCATGCTTTAGTGGAACGAGAAGCATGACACAGCAGAAGCACGATGACAGAAGAATTCCAATCAATAAATTAGCTACAACATCCTACACCAGAACTTTTAGCCTTCCGGCTTAAATCAACCGAGTTTGTTGTATGCACTTGTTTGATTTCTAACTGGTCTTCCATCTCCCGAAACCGAGAAACAGCTGAGGTAAACGCAAGCTCTACATTGATGGAGTCTTTTGCACTGGTCTCAAAGTAAGGGACGTTCCCGTGTTTGGTGCACCATGATCGGGCAACGTCGTCGCTGACTTCTCTGTTCGGCATGTCAACTTTGTTGCCCAGGATGATGAATGGGAACGGAGACCCCTCCTGAATATCTGCATAATAGAGGAACTCACGTTTCCACATGGGAAGATTTTCAAAACTTTTTCTGTCATCCATTGCAAATGTAAGCATGCAGATGTCCGCACCACGATAGAATGGAGTTCGTAGAGATTTGAACCTCTCCTGGCCAGCGGTATCCCAGATTTGCATGGTGTAGTTGTCACCGTTAACCTAAAAAATAATTTATAAAACAGTTGTAGTACTTACAAATAGCTGTAGTACTTACAAATAGGTGTAGTACTTAAAAATCCAGCTTTAACCGAATAATTGGGGTCCATGAAATCGTATTAATTAGCTTGGCCAAGTTAATTTGGAGTTTCACAATATTTTTATGGGACCTGCCCCCCCCCCCCCCCCCCCCCCCCCACTAAAGCACCACCCTGGGCCCAAGACACCACACTTGTGACATGGATACGGTACTTAAAACTCATAAAGCGGATATTGGTAATTTAGATCTAACAATTTTTAAACACAGGTACTAATTTTTTTTCACATACCCAGCACTTTAAACAAAATAATGAATAGGTTAAATTTCTGGAGCCATTATCATTATAGCGGCATTCCATTGTAATACAACAAAATTTGTATAAGTATTTTTTTGTTATCATTTACAGTAGAACTCTGGAAGTAATGTAATAAATGTAATATAAAGGACTTTGCCCTTTAGTATTTTATAAAAATATATAGAAATTTCAATAACTTATGTTTTATTAATTGGAACTACAGACATTTTTAGTGACTTTTAGCAAGGCAAATATATTTTAAAGCAATAAATTATGAAAATTTTTAATAAAAAATATTAAAATAGACAAACAGAAATTATATTCTTAAATATCGGTACCGTACTTACTGTGACATCTTTATTTAGAAATTCCACTCCGATAGTATGGAATGACTGAGAATCAAATTTATTGCTCACAAATCTGTTCATCAGAGAACTTTTGCCCACACCTCCATCCCCAAGGAGGACCACCTTCAACAACTTAGACCGCCCAGACATAGTGGTTAACCCAGCATACACTAATCAATTTACGTCTTTGTAAAAATCTGCAATTCAAAAAGAAAACAATTTGTTAATTGCTCACTACAGAGCCTACAGTGAATGAGCTCTCACATCTTTCACCAAGTTATCAAGGTTTGGAAACATTTCCAGATAGTCATAGTCATGTGATTAAAATTAATTAAAAACATTCTAACAAAATACGGTTCATGACATCGTTGTTTTGGAAAACATAACATAAGACAACACCCCCTCCGCCAAATAAAATTTGACTATCAATGATGAGACCGATGAGAACTAGAACTAGAAAGCAAAAAGTGGGGTGTCAGTACACTGTCAGTAGTGTTGAGATGAGTATTTAAATTAATGGCATTCACTATTATTTTCATGTCGTTTTATCATGATGAATATACAAAAGGTTAGTTTGACTCACACTTTTAAATTAAAATAAAGAAATAAATTTATCTATAGCGTAACAGAAAAATAAAATTAAGCTCACAAACTTACGGTAAATATTATTAAAAGCCCGAGATGTTATTGGAAAAATATTACGGAAAATCCAAGTAGTCAACCATTATTGTTGACTGACGTCACTTCTCACGTGACTTCTGTCATGAGACTCACAATTTTTTTGTTCGCTTAATATTTAATAAGGGAATTTGCTTTTGAAAATTTTAAAGATATATATCATAACATGATGTTAAAATTTGTTTTTCACTCACTTCCCATGGTTTTATATTACGAATATTTAAAATCGTAAAAGTAAACAGTAAACATTTAAAAAATAACAGTTATTTAAGTTATTAGTATTAGCTTTCAAAGAATGAAATAATGGGACATGGACATGGGATAACTTTAATGACAACAAAATAAATATTTTAAAACTTAAAAATGTATATTAAGTAGGCTAATAGTAGCCTAACGATAGGAATTACCAAACGCAAACAAATTCAAAAATTCTTGCCCACCCACCCCCNCCCCCCCCCCTCTTTTTTTTTCCACCAAATTCGCCCATCTTTTTTTAAACTGCCCCCCCCCCAACCCCCATGTGTATGCAGCTGTTCCTGGGCGCAAGACAATGGCGCAAGACAGTGGGGGCACCAAAATGGGCTTTAATGGCATTTTATAGATGAAAATAATGGGTTTCAGTGTTAAGGATTTAATTTGTATATTATATCGAAGAGGAATTTTTGATTTGTGTGAAGAAAGTTATAGCTGTTTCAAATTCCAAATAAACATTTCAATCAACTGAATATTGGGTAATACATACTTTATATACGATTTCCCTCAGACAAAATCACACATTAATAAATAAAAATAATGTACGTTTTTTGTAAACATCTCAGGTCATGTCTTCTTAACATAATTGAGGAGTCCAATTGCAAACCCTGCTAAGTCACTTTAGACTGATATTGAGAAAAACACATTTTTCTAAAACACAATGATGCGCTAATCCTAGGATTCTGGTTTTTGTTCAAGTCGAAAGATTAGCTGTAAATTATATATTTTTTAACATAAAATATAGTTGAATTGGAATTTTTGCATTTATAATGCATTATAAAGTTATTATTTAGCAGGTTTTGAAAATGGTTTGCATACTTAGTAGCTTTTGAAAGAGTTTAAAAATATACTTAGCAGCTTTTGAAAGAGGTTTAAAATACTTATGAGGATTTGAAAATGGTCTAAATCACTTAGGAAGTTTGACAGCCCACAAAAAATTTAAAAGATATAAAGGGGGTGCTCTTTTAAATTTTCTTTAAACTGTACTGCATTATTTTAATGAACCTTAGTCTTATAATATAAGATTATAATATAATATTATTATGGTACCTTATCCAAACAATCAAGTAACACTAGTAATAGACCACAACACATATAATTGCTATGTTACAACATAAATTAACAGTAACAGACAATAACACATAAAATTACTAAATAAAAACACAAAGTAACAGACAATAATACATACAATTACTATATCACAACAATAGTCTTTAATTCATAATTAAGTCCTGGGGGGACAAAAAACATGGGGTGACAATTTACCACATTTAAAACAAACGCAACACTACAAAAACTAATTATAAGCATACAATGTCAAAGTCTTTCTAGCCATTTCAACCCTAAGCAACACAGCCAATATGCATTAACTGGAAAATAAGGTAGACAATCATCCCAGAAGGTGTTTGCGAAATAAATGTGTCTTTAAATCGGTTTTAAAGGACTCCAGTGTCTGGTTGTTTCTGAGATCCACAAGAAGGGCGTTCCAAATTGTTGGACCAGCAAACGCGAAAGTGCGCTTTCCGTAAGTCTCAAGGCAATCACATTGTGTCGAGAGTTTGCCACTATCGGATGAGCGGAGTCGTCTAGTGGGTACATAAGGCGTCAGCAACTCTTTCAGATAGGACGCGTCAGGTCATGTAAGCAGCGGTAGCACAACGTTGCGATTTTGTACTCTATGCGAGCACGCACTGGAAGCAAGTGCAACTCTCTCAGAAGTGTTTTTGCATGGTCGAACTTGCGTTTGCGGAGAACAATGCGAGAACAATATAAATACCCCCCCCCCCCCACACTTTTTTTAAAAAATGATACGTCACAGCACACTTTTTATTTCACGCCCATGAACTATATTAATATTCTCATGCCCCAACCACTTTTAAACCGAATATTTTTTACACAATACTTTAATTGAGACGATTTCATTTCCGAAAAGAAAATATTACGCACCAAACGCAATTGCGTTATTAAAAATAGATATATAGATCATTTAGCGTAGTTATCGGGAATTATATTTTGCGCGCTGGTGAACTCATTATTTAACAACACTCTGGCGTATCTATATATAGCCTGCGTGTTGGTTGTGTTTGACCTTTGCTGTCGAAAATTTATTGATAGATACGTTTTCTTATGATGTTAACATGTTCGTAATCGTATGATAATCAATATTAAAAATCGAATACAACTACCGCTAATAATAGCAGCTTGTGGCGCCTTTTAAATTCAAAACAACCTCTTTTTTTCATAACTTGTGTTGCTAGACTTGTACTATTATCTAGAAACATTATTTTTTATTTCATGCAGTATGCAGCATAGTAAAAGCTAATCATTATAATAATGTATCATATTTATTTGGAATTCAGTAAACCTTCATCGCATTAAACCATTATTTTGAGAAAGATACAGATGACAAGACAAAATCAAACACACTTGACAAGTGACTTGTGACTTGCCGACAGCGAGTCGCTGAAGTGAGTGGCTTCAATCCCCACGACCAGGTCGAGACTAAAACTAATAGTACTATTAGTACTAACTAAAACGTAAAAGACGGTAAGGTTTTATTATTCATACATTTTATTTTACAAGTTTCTTTTCTTGCAATGCCTTTTAAAATTTACATTAACAGACAATTCAAAAAATAAATAGCCATGTGAATGTGTCCTATAATATAATCAACTGTAGGACTGTAGTCTGTACTGAAGTGATTTAGAATGGGCATGGGCTATGGCCTATGGCTATAACTATTACTATTACTATTTCAGTTTGGGTGCCCTACTTTTACAACTAATACTAACTATTACTATTAGTATCAGCAAAATAAAAATTTAAAAATTGCTTTATACAAATGCAAACTCACACACTTGTTTGTATCAGACTCAGAGGCCTAAACCAGAGGAGTAGCTGTGGGAGGGGGGGGCAGAGGGGAACATAAATCCCAATACTTTGATTTAATAGTTTATTTATGATGAAAATATTGAAAATAATGTGCTTCAATCAGTTTTGGGGGTGCGTAAAAAGAAGTTTTGTCCCTGGGCTACAAACAGTATAGTAGTATAGCTACGCCCCTATATTTAGGAGTATTTAGTAATGCATTTGTGCATATATGTGGGTTGCACTGTTAATCAAACTCCCAGAATCCAGAAAATCGTTAAGTCTGCAACCAGTTATTTTTTTGTATTTAAATTTAAGATCAGATTTATTTTATTGATCCAAATAAATGGAAACATGTTTTGATTGCATTGTACATATTTACTGTCAACCTATGGATAAACATTCTAATATAACAATTTTAAAGCTGGAAAACTTAAGATATTTCTCAAATGCAAACAAACAGGCATCAAGTCATCAGGTGTCGTAAAACTCACTTTCATAATGGCAACAATGACTTTAAGAGTGATAATTTTATTTTATAATAGTTGCCAATGCATGTCGGTAAATTTTGACTTATTGTGGAACAGTGTTAATGTTATTGAATTTATAAATCTTTTGGCAAGGACACTTTGACAGAAAGAATTCAACATGATCAAGCTGATTTTAAGTAACAGTGATATAGTTAGTTAGATGTATCCTCCAAAAGTTAGGTTGGTTAGCTTTAAATTGAAATTGCCTTTGGTAATTATGATTTTGATATTTCATAATTTATCACAATTAAAGAGCTAATTTTCTGGATCAAAAGAAGTAAGTGTAAGCGAGTAGGCCTACTACTCTGTCACCGAATCGTTTAATTTTAAACTTTAAAACTTTCAAGTTGACTTTGAGATTAGCCATTGATTACCACTATGCAAAGCAGAACTTTATCTGCAAGCTCACTTTGAATCATTAGTGAAGTGGCTAGTAGTATGCCAATAATAAATGTATTGCTTGTACCAGAGGTTCTCAAATTTTTTGAGTCACCTCACCCTTGCTGCATCCAGGTTTTTTCCTATGTCAAATCTAAAATTAGAGACCTTTTTAACTCATGCTATAAGTGGAAAAAAATCAATTTTTCAACTGCAACGAGAAGAAATACTTTAAAAAAATCTTAACTTGACTTTTAATTATGGTTAATATTTGCTTAATACAATCCACACAAATTTAAACAAATCTTATATGTAGGGGTGTGCCGGATCCGTTTTTTCCAACCGGATCCGGATCCGGATTTTCTTATGCGAAATCCGCCGGATCCGGATACCGGTTTCTCCCGGATTCCGGATTTTGGTACTATTGGTAGATACTTCGGTAAGTCAAGGTGGACTACTACTTTTTGTGTATGGGAATTCGCAATCGGCGCCAAAAAATCCGAGTTTTTAATTTTCCGATGTGTGTGTCTATTTATTATTAAATTAGTACTTTCGATATATATTTGAGTTCCGTTCCATTTGGATAAGTGTCTTACGAGAGA